CAATTCTATACATGTGTTGAGTTTTATGTGGAGTAGGCATAAAGGAATTTATATATAAAGCAAAACGTAAGTTCGAGCAATTAAAGTTAAAAAATAACTCTTATTAGAGGATAAGAGAACCTAAAGAGTTTGCGATGTATGGGTTAGACAAACATTTCCTTTAATCTAAAACACTAAGACGTAAGTCCATTGCGTAAGTTCCCGAGGCCAAAATACTACCAATCCATATAGTTCACTTAACAATAGCGTGGTTTTAATAACGAACAAGCTAGTGATGAGTGAATACTTGTATGTAGAAATGACGAAGTCTCTAAGCTGGCCCAATAGTTTTTAATCAAAATCAAGTCAAACTTACTTCCTGACAATCGTAGTTATTGGCAAAATGATGACTTTAGCCTATGCCATTTAAGGGGATATTTTGTAATTAAATAGTTCAGACTACCATCAATTGCAGGAAACATATAACGCCAGTCAATTAAGTTTGATTATGACGTTGCAATAAAAGATGATAAATCAGTCACAATGTATGTTTGACGAGGCGATAGAGAACAGGGCAGTCATATATTAGGAATACTTTTTACCACAATCTCGAGTAATCGCGTAGCCTGAACTGACCCCAGTATCACTAACCCCTTCAGTCCGTCTCAAAATAGGTTTAAGTGTTACTGCCGTTGTGTAAAATGCATTTTTCCAGTAGAACCATGAAAAACTAATTTGTTTTACCACATTGCATAATAATTTATGAGGCAACATATATTGGAACCCCTGAAAACGCGGGGTTTCCTTCTTTGTTCCTCGTTTAGTGCACATCTAACTCCTTATAATCTTTGTAATGTTATCCGTCATTTGTCTAGAAATTGATATACAGTTTTTCAAGTATATGCTTCGAATAACTTACATACTGTATCCCCATTTTCTACCTTGTGCACCAGAATAATATTAGTGTGTTACATTGACGTTAAGGCCATATCAAACCAAATTTCAAGGACATTCATTTGGCATAAACACAGGTGCGCACTTTCCCTTCTACACTACACCATAGTGCTAATTTAATTTATACTTCTTTAAGTCAAACTACAATGGCTAGCCCTAAAAGACTAACATCATTCAAAAAGAACCTTTACCTGATTTTAAGCGGAAGGAAGGAGACACGCTTGTAGTACGCCTGGCTATCCAGATTCCTTTCCCTGACGAGGTTGGCCATACGCATTGTGTTGAAGTCGTTGGTGTTAGATCTCTGTAGACGCTGTTGCCGGTTTTCCTTGTCAAAACCTTGACTCGGAGTGAAGGACGAGATAAGCGATGACACAGAACTCGGAGCCAGTGAAGGCATCATGGACACAGTAGAGGAGCCTATGGAGGCTGCCTTGACCGACTCCAACCCATCTCCATGCTTGTCCAAGTAACACTTATTTCTCATATCACATGGTGGTGCTGAATAAACAGATAAACAAACACACTGAAACACGCAAAGACTAAGTTTTGTTCCGAAGACTCTTCTATTCCTCTGCGTTTCTCCCCTTACTATTTCCTAATGCTGCGATATTTTGAAATCACCTTAAATGTATTTATTCCTAATGAGACGCACCATGCTGATCAGTATCGCAGAAAATAATCGCATTATGATTTATCAAGTATATATAAATACACAGACACACTTCCGAACGAAACCTTAGTATACAGAAGCCGTGGATAGCTATACTCATTGTCTTCAATTCTTTGATTTTCCCCTGCTGTTGTTTAAATTCGTGACTTCTACCGGAGGAAAAGCTATACAAATTTAATGAACTAGTAATAACCGACTTTCTTTCAAGGAGATCAAAGACATGATATGTATTGATGTAATGTAACCAACAGTTATAGTATATTGCATCCCCTTCCACCTGCCATCCTGATTGCCAAATATGTTTTTTTTTTCATTTGCTTTCGATTTTTGTACATATTTGTAAAGGAGTTCTATGGCTGCGGTTTACGGCCTCATAAAGTTATTGAAAGTATTGAACATTTCTAATTTGTCCCCTAAATCTTGGCCATGTTACCAAAACATCTGACATTCCAAACCAGTGTACTTGAATATGTGTATCTACAATATTGAACTATGGTAGATATATAAAGATAGTCTTAAAGGTATTAGTCTTAAAGGTATTTGGACTACATCCAATGAGTCTCTGTTAAAATCTTAAATATCATCAGTATTTGTGTGTTAAGACCAACCGAAAACAATAGATATATCACATATATTTCCTTCAAAGTTATGTTCATATGTCAGAAAAGAATATGATATCAATATAAAAGAAACATTACCTTTTTCAATCATGGTAACACTATTTGCACTGAGGTGTATACATAGTATGCAAATAATGCATGTTAATCCATTGAGAATTTGTATAAACTCACGTATTAATCCTTTGAGGAAAATATAATCCTCCTCGCACCATATTGTGTTCCCTACGAAACGTCAGTCTCTACGAGAGATACGATATTATAAAATATAAAATTATGGAGCGGGTCGTCCTAGATATTTCGGTGACTGGTGCAGTGCCATTGAAGCGTGGAGCTCCATACACACTGATCAGACCTATCTATATACCATTTAACAATGACACAGAGCTTTGTCTGACGTTCGACAAAGCCGTGTCGCTACCATCAGATAGCATGCAGATGGTCGTTACAGAATAGTGTAATACACAACAATCTGGAAACCCAAGACAGAGAGGACATAGCTCACGGATAGACACGACTAAAGAAGCGATCTAATTATATTACAGTAGCTGTCTTCAGCTCTCCGTCACCTTATATCGGTCGTATTATCCTTAATGCCACATTCATATACAAATATAATTGCCGACATATTGCATATTTTTTCTACCTTAAACCTGATACATTTTCTGAATCCAATCTCTTGGTTATTATAAGTTCCACGTTATTTCCTATTTTCCTTACTACTAAGTCATTTAAAATACTTTGCTTCTAAGGACATAGGAATTGCCCGTCTTACAGATTCTTTTTATTCTACAATTTTGTTAAACTGAGATATTGGTATACTGACAAAACTTTTAGTTGTATACATGTATGTATTTTTATCAATAACATTTATATATTGTATTTAAAATCGTTGTAAACAATTTGAGATTTGGCACATGCATGTCGGAAAAAATTAACAAAAAACCCTAATACATTAATCTCGTTAAGTTTGTATGAAAACATTCGTTGTCTTAACAGGTTTTCATGCACCTGGTTAGGTTGTGAACAGAGGGTGAATACGTATAAGGTATAACTATATCTCTGCCAAGTCATTGCATTCAAACGTTTTGTGTGTTTTCCACAATGTGACTTAACACACGTTTTATGCTGAAAAGGCTTTGTAAATAACATCACATAAGCATATACACTGTATAAGTAAACTTTGACCAGGTCAGCGTAGTCAAACCGTATCATTATAAAGAAACTGTTTGATGTACGCAAATATATGTCGTTCTAAAATAAACAAGCAACTCGTTTTATATTGAAAATAAACCAAGGTTTGTAAACAGAGTGTGGCATTCTGTGAATCCGTTTTTAGAATTGATAATATTGACAACAATAAAATATGACGACTATTCGAAGTGTTAATTGCATGTTGTACAAAACTCGGGCATAGTGTCATACGGAAAACCCGAGTTTTGCGAACAACGTCAAGTTTGAAATTAAACAAATAGTTAACGTTTTTGACCTTTTAAACCCCACATCTTGATTATAAGAGAGTATAACAATATAACTATGTTATATTTACAATATAACATATGCATGATAAGGAAGCTAGGATATTTAAGTCGCTCACATTGAGCTGACAGATATAACAGTAAATAAACGTCTTTAATGAAATGGGTTCTAAGCAACTTTGTTGTATAATACAGGAGCTTAAGTCGAATATTTTAAAAATTTGAAAAGACATCAGGAGGTATGGAATATTGCCTCTTTAAAACATTTCCAAAGTATTTTAAGAAATTACATAAAAACACCATATTTTATTATATATTTTTAAACTTTTTGTTTCCCCAAAAAGTACATGAGTACATATATATGTTAATTTCATTATGAAATGGTTGACTATGTACAGGTGAATTACACACCTCTGCAGATGACACTTTTAAACATGTATTCCGTCTTTGCGTATTGCAG